GTGGGTCGCAATTCAACATGTCTATACACGCGAACAAGCAATAATTAAAACAGTAGACGTTAAAACCACACATAACACTGGAGTGGAACATGTTGTTGACATATCTACTTAATTATGAACGTGTGGAGAGAACGGGTTATGTGGAGCCGTGACTGCTGGATTATAATGGTACATATTCATAATATTGCCTTTTTATCAACCGCGCATGCGAACAAGTGTGGATACTTGGGTGAGTAGTTTGGAATGTCTTCGACCTCTCGTCTTGGCCAAGGTCGACGACCAAGCGACGGGACTCACACTTGTATTCGACAGACAGATATAGATCAAGAGTACATAATAGAGACATAATAGAGTACATCATAATCTCTATTATGTACTCTTGATAAAGATGGCTAGATGGCTAGATGCTATAGATGGCTATAGATGGCTATAGATGGCTAGATGCTAGATGGCTAGGTGGCTATATGGCTAGATGGCTAGATGGTTAGATGGCTAGGTGGCTAGGTGGCATAGGTGGCTAGAGTAGATACATGAATATAGTATAGACATACATTAGATAGATAGATAGATAGTAGATAGATAGATGATAGATTAGATAGATAGATAGATAGATAGATAGATAATACGATAGATATAGATAGTAATAGAATAGATAGATAATAGATAGATAAGATAGATTAGATAGATAGATAGATTAGATAGATAGATAGAATAGATAGATAGATAGATAGATAGATAGTAATAGATAGATGAAGTACATAATAGATACTTAGAGAACGCTTTACCCTTCTCTAATCTAACATGAACTCAGACCACTATCCAGCTCTTCAGGTGAACAGAGAAGATTATTATAATGCTCGAGTATATGCACTGTTTGTGTCATTGTTTTTTGTTAGATCTACTATAATCTACTTATTAAGTGCCTCGACTTTAGTTTTATAAACACAGGCCGCTAACAGCATGCGAAAGTATCCAGGTTTGTGGAAGTTACGTAGTACACACCTACAATAAATTTCCTCCAGGGCATATACCGGGCGGCATTGAGTGCATGCATGAGAGCGGACTAGGTGAGGATCTCTGTTAGGGATAGTGTTTCTTGGTTGTCCACCGGACAATGTCTCAGACTGGTTAGGTTGTCCGGCGCAAATTCTGGTTGTCTCGGACAACCGGACAACGCTTATTTCGAGCACTGATATGGGTATCTGCGGTATCCTACCATAGATTCGGGCCTCGTGTATGTTAGGACCGGCTATGAAAACAAGTATAGATATAACGACAGGAGTTAATTTAATAGTACAAGTATGTACAATGTAATACTAATAATAATAATACATTTTGTGTAACAACACACATGTATTATCAGCTCTTGATAACGACACGCTAGTATGGAAGCTTACAATCTCGGATGCAAAAAACAAAATCTCGGATGCGGATCCCGGATCGTTCGCGTGCCATTGCGTCGTATCTTAGCACAGATCTTAATTCATGGCTTCATGGCTTCGTGCTCACGTGATCGCGCTTCGTGATTTCAGAAAGGTGAACGCGTCTTCTGGCTGTTCAGCGCTACGGGAACATGCGCCGAATACGCCCTAGTCGACGCCAAATTCGTATTCCATCTATCGCCGAAGTTGAGCTATACGCAGGGAGCTGCGATGGGCATTCCTTTGCTGACTGCACTGCGAGTGATCGACATCAAGTGAGTGAGAGCTGTGTGTGCGTGTGACTGAGTACAGCATGAGTCGCTGTGGTCGATGTGTAGTCTAGTATTCTTACAGGCGTCATATTGATTAGTTGTGCACAGTGTCTAGTATATATAGTGTATAGTGTCAGGCAGCGATGGAATTCGATCCCAAAACATTCATTATTTCTTTCCCTGCCCTAGCTAGTTCTCTTGTTAGAATTATTTATTGAGTATAGTTGTATTATTTATAATACTATTTATTAATATAGAATTCCGTCTATTGAGACGCCGGGAAATCACGCGGTTTTATCGCCTTAAGCACGCAAATTCAAACAACGTTTGATTAAGGCAGTGGCTACGGGTACGGTAGCCGTATCTTAATGTCTCGAGGCTACGGGTACGGGAGTCCATTCGCTTTCATACTTAACGAGACAAAGATGGCGGCGGTAGCGCGAGATTTTGAAGTAACGCATTGGGAAATAAATTCACGATTTCAGAGTTTAGATGAGCTAGAACCCTAACCCTAACCCTAAACCTAACCCTAACCCTAACCCTAACTCTAAACCTAACCTTAACCCTAACCCTAATCCTAACCCTAACGCCAAAAAGGGGCTTCAACGAACGACGGCTACCGTACCTGTAGCCACTGCGTTTTATTAAATCTTTAAGAGCGCGATGTTTTCTAAATCTGCAACACTGCTAAAGCACTATCGTGTTCATGTAAATGATTCCTTATGACAAGGAACCGATGTGTAATAGGACCAGGAGTGTCTTAATATAGATATCATCAGTGTCTATAATTATTATGACACTCCTAGAATGCATAATTAATGTATAATTAATGCATAATTAAATCTATACACGTGATCACCTGTTTGCACCTGACCCTTGAATGACTAAGACTGCTACAATGAAGACATTTGTTTCTTTCTTTCTCTCCAAGGGCGAACGCAAAGAAAGGACAGACGATGCTCATCCACGGAGCTAGTGGCGCGGTACGTTTACTCGGTTACCATTGCCGTCGCCGCATTTCATTTTTATCGACATTGTCCTTTAAAGCAGCGCGATGCACAGTAGACACACAATGCTCCTATCATATATATATATATATATATATATATATATAAATATATATATTATATATATTGATTTAATAATATTAGCTTATGTATGTAACTAATATTGTATATATATGGTATAATATAATATGTAAGTAGCATTTCTAACTGCTAATATGCCTTTCAACTGTCACGGATGTATATGAACACATATGTCATCTATGTTCGCTTTCATGAAGAAGCCGTGATTGGTAGTGGAAGCCCGTAGGCAAAACCGTAATCAATCACGCCGGGCGCCAGGGCGTCTATTTACCCTCAGCAAGGGGTTGGCAGAGGAGATGTATGTTTTCTCACCGCGCGTAGTGTTTGAGCTGTTTGTTTGTGGTGTTTTTTGGGTTTGTTAAATGTGTTTTCTTATTTTGTGGTGTTTGTTATCTGCTCGAAGCAC